ATGGGTAAGAGGAGAGGAGAAAAAAAAATAGAAAAATATGTAATTGAATACCCTAATTTAAGGCACTAATAATGGATTAATATATGGAGAGAGGAGACAGAGAATAGGGAAAGAGAAGTGGAGAGAAAAAAAGAAAAAATGTATAACTAAATCCCATAATTTAAAGCACTAATAATAAATTGTATATAATTTATAAGTAATCATTGTTTAAGGCGGGTAGTACAGAAAACTACGACAATTTTGGTAAATAAATTTCAAATATTATATAGGAAGAAAAAAATCTCATGATCATAACTGGGCCAAACGAGTACTAGGACATGGGGGCAAATGCACAAATAATCATTCTTAAAAAATTATTTAGAGATTAATCGATATTTATTTTGTCTTAAAATTTAATTTCAGGACAATTGAGACATTTTTATTCTAAAAAATTAAATTAAAAAATTAAAATTCAGAATATATTGGCTAATTACTAAATAAAACATTTTAGAGTGGGTACCTGCGACACTGGACCGGCGCCCATGGTTATAGAAGATAAACAAAACCCTAATCAAATTTGCAGATATAGCTATATAAAACCCTAACGCCTCCAAATACCATTTTCTCGTCAGTTTTCGGTGGATAGAGAGAGGGCCGTGAAGATCGACACTGTCCGCAATGTCGAAGCGAGGTATCATTCAACCTTTTTCCACTTCTTTCTATCATTAGTTGTATTCTTTATTTTCGATATGAAGTTTTTTTTTTCAATTTCTGAAAAATGTGTATTTAACTTTTAAGGACGAGGAGGTTCCGCTGGGAACAAGTTCAGAATGTCACTGGGTCTGCCGGTGGCGGCGACGGTGAACTGCGCCGATAACACTGGCGCGAAGAACCTGTACATCATTTCAGTGAAAGGGATCAAAGGAAGGCTTAACAGGTTGCCTTCAGCTTGTGTTGGTGACATGGTGATGGCTACTGTGAAGAAGGGTAAGCCAGATCTCAGGAAGAAGGTTATGCCAGCTGTCATTGTTCGTCAGCGCAAGCCCTGGCGCCGAAAGGACGGTGTTTTCATGTACTTCGAAGGTATATTCTTAAGAGTATCCTTGTTTTAATTTCGTTTGTGAAAATGAGCTGGAATATAGTGGATTGGATATAGAGGATTTATGTTATAGTGGATTGATTGATATTGAAATTTTGTTTCTGTGATGTGTAGCTGAATTTTTGAATTTTCATCTGTTGATATTATGTTTATGGTTACTTGTTATGGCTTTATGAGGAATTCGAAAGGAGGGGTTGATGATAATAATGTAGCTAGTAATATTTAAAAGAAGTATCTAAACAGCCAAGTAATTATATTGTGATGAATGCATCTTTGCTGGTCTTATTGAACTAGGAGCTCTACTAACCTTGCCCGTGGGAAATTGCTTTATGTATGAAAAAATGACCTAGGGAGATAGAAGTAGTAGGAGTTCAAATTCTACCATTTCCTCATCTCGATTCTTGTTCAATCCATAAACACATGCAATTCAATCTTATTCGTCAATTACTGGATTTTTATTTCTTGTTTGAGCTGCTACATTAGCTGTGAGTTCCAGTCTTTAAGCTTGGAATGGACTAGCATATCACTGCTAGTTCCAGTCTTTAAGCTTGGAATGGACTAGCATATCACTGCTAGTTCCAGTCTTTAAGCTTGGAATGGACTAGCATATATTGGAATGGATATATAGATTCATAGTGTACCCAAGACCCTAACTGATTTAGGACTGAGGGATCTTTTCAGGGCATTGATCAATCCTATCTTTCTATTCAGTCGTAGTTCTGTTTCTCCTCTTGTGAGATGGCTTGCCAGCTTTGTTTCTATGCAAACCACTGTGTTGTGTTTACATATTATTATCTTCTTACTAGCTTAGATGAAGTCAGTTTCTGCTGGTGCATGTCTTCTAAAAGAACACATGAAAACCTGTCTCTGATTCATTTTTTTTTGGGTTCTGCAGATAATGCCGGTGTGATTGTTAACCCCAAGGGTGAAATGAAAGGTAACTCGGTCTACTTTGAATAGTGCAGATTTTTATTTTATTTTAGAGGGTATCATCGGTACCCCTTAAAATACATGCTTGACTCTATTTTGAANCTCTTGCAGAAATGCAGTGTAAGTCTGTGTACAATAGACCCTTGTAGTCCGGCCCTTCCCCAGACCCCCTGTGCATAGCGGGAGCTTGGTGCATCGGGCTGCCCTAATTATATGAACCTGCCTTGCTCTTTTCCTTGCCTTATTCTTTAATGTTTCATTTGTAGGGTCTGCCATCACTGGCCCAATCGGGAAAGAATGTGCTGATCTTTGGCCTAGGATTGCAAGTGCTGCCAATGCTATTGTGTAGAAGTAGGGTTCCTGAGTAGTTAACAGTTCTTGTTTTGTTGGTTTTTCATTAAGTTTTTGGATATCTAAGGGCATTGTCTTAGTAAGAATTATTGCTCAGAATTTTGCAGTACTAAAAGGTTTTTACCCATCAAAGACATCAAATGTTTTCATTTCCATGGTTTAGTGCATTTATCACGATGGATACAGAAGTATTAGTATGTTTCTTCTCAGTAGTACTGGTAATGCTCTTCTATCAATGCTTGAATCTCATCTATGAAAGCTTGAAACCTTTCATGGCCTTTTTTGGAGTTACGAAAGTGTCTACCTAATCTGGATGGTCCTCGGGACAGACGAGCATTTGAATCTTACCTAAACTGCTAAGCTTTAGGCATGTTCATTTTTCTCTCCATGTGTAGTTTATTTGTTAATGTAGTCTTTAGTGGTCTCAGGACTTGTTTCATTACTATGTTGTTTTAGAGGATAACTTCAGCATTTTGTTAAACGATTAAGTAGGCTCTTCATTTTTTCTCTTTGAAAAAGTATGCCGTAAACTTTGAGACAGTTTTAACATTGACACATTTGTCTAAATACCACTTGATGGATCGACAAAAGAGTTCATATAGAGGTGTTCACCAGTTGGCTGATTGTGTTAGTTTCCCAAGTTGATTATCTTGCTTGAGAATTCTGTAAGACATTATTGGATTTCTATTATAGTTTCAAAGTAATGTAGAGACCTGTATGCCTTAACTAGAATATCTCATAATATCTCAGTGGCTCATACAAGTCAAAGATCTATAAGGCCGAGGGCGAATTAACTAACCTCCACTTAAACCGTTTTTTTTTTCTTTCAAATGATATCGTACAAGTTCTTATCTACTGTCGTAAAATAACAGTATGATGTGATCCACACTTTTCACTTGAAATTGAGATCACCAATCCGCCATCGCCTGTTGTGGTTCGACTTTACCTTTATATTTTATGATTACCTTGTCTTAGGGGCTCTTCGTTTTCTCTTTGAAGATTATAGATACTTGAAGATGAATCTGTCTGATTAGTAGATATTATTTCGAAATATGAGTACTAGATAACTAAAATTGCATTTTGTCTTTATTTAAAACTTAGCAATTATAAACTTTAATAAAATAATAACTAAATATCATATCAACAAAATATTAGAGCCTCAAAACAAACCTTTTCATTACTATAGTTGTTCTTTATAGAATGAAAAATCCCTTTCAATTACTAGTATCAGTTTTCAACTACTTAGTTGTATTTTTTAATAGAAGAGATGGAAAGGAAAGTGAGGAGTTTATAATAGAGGAAAAAAGATTAGTAGTGACGAAGGTGATGGTGGTGGGTGGTTGTAACAAACTAAAAGTAGACAACTCTCTTTCAATAGAATTGGCCGATGAGGAAACATAGACTTTACCTCTGTGCAAATAACTGACCCATAAGCATTGTCTAACTTATCCATGTTCACAACAGTGGTTGTCGTGATTGTGCAGTGGGAGTAGGCAAAATAGTGATGAAAGTTTATCTTTGTAGGAATTTTTGGACTAATAATACCTGTAGGTTATTAAGACTATATGATATGAACGAATTGCCGATTAAAATAAGTGGTTGCACATTGTCTCGCTTCTATTTTCTTAATAATTTGTTGTCGATATTATTTGTTGTTACTGCTTCTTTTTAAGCGAAATACATAAATGGCAAAATACGTAAAGAGACACCTAAAGTTGGCCGCAGATATCTATCTCTCACACTATCTTACCAAATGACCATATAAACACTTTATGTTGGTTTTAGTGTGTCTAGTAAACACACGTGTCTGACATGGCAACACGACTGAGATACAAACGCTGGGCAGCACGTTAGGTTAAATTTTTCTTGGTTCTAACGGTAAAAAAATTTAAAATTATAATTATACCCGTAATGAATTCCTTTTATATTTATCCCAATTTTCGAATTCCTAAACCTAAATCCATTTTCTTCCCCGACCCTTTTCTGCTTCTATCTTCTCCCTTTCTCTCTTTCGAAGCATTATAAAAAATGGAGGGCACTTTATATTGTCATTATGGTAAAAAGGCAGAATTGATGATTTCATGGTCACCAAATAACCCGAATCGCACGTATCTTGCATGCCAATATGATCGGGTAAGTCATTTTTTAAACTTATATTTTGTTTCTTCAAAATTGTTGGCCAAGACTCCATTTTTATGGACCTTTCTTATTGTTTTACAGGAAGGAGTGTAGATATTTCAAGTGGTTTGAAGATGAATTTCCTAAACAAGATAAAATTGTTATTTGGGAATTTTTGAAGAGTATAAAAAAATACGACGAATAAAAGGATAAGATGAGCAGAAAGTTCAGAATGTTGCTGGTCATTGTGATACTAGCTTGGATTTGTAGATAGTTTTTATGTAATGTTTTTTATATATGTTGAAATTTCGTTGGTTGAAGGAGCTCTTTTGTGTATTGGCATTTATGTAAAGCATGCCATATTTTAATTAGCATTTGCAGTAATTCCAGTAGCTCTTTTGAATGTTGTAATGTAACCCTAAGATGAATACAAGTTGAACCATATTTTGACTAATATTTCAGCATTCATTTATTAAGTTTTTCTGCAAATTTCATTGCTCAAACCATCCCAATAGTCACAAAATAAAATGCCAAACATACATATGAAACATTGCTTGAATAGTAAATAAATAAATTTCAGTTTTAGGTTCATGAAAATGACCCAAGACAAAATACTTGAACAAAATACATAAAGTGAAATGTTCTCCGGTGAGCCTTTTTCTTCATGATTTGCATCTCTTTTTGTTGGTGAAGTTGGTTTCCAATAATAGCATATTTTTCCTTCCATTTCAATCCAGGTGGCTTGAATCCAAGATCAATATTGGTAAGTGATTTATTTTTTAATTGTCCCCCACTATAAATGACTCTTTCACTTGGTCTTCCTGGTTGCAAATTCAAAATTGTATAAACAGTATGACGTATATTAATAACTTGTGATATAGCTATCATATAAAAATATGAAAGAGCTTACATTAAGGACTTGTCTTCCAGATTGTGTGTCTGTGTGAATACCAAATCCCATTTCTCTCGTTCTTTTTTTGCAACAATAGTAGAAATAGATCTTGTAGCAAGCATCAAGAGAAGCAACAGTTGCAAAGCCAACACGTGCATTTGCTGCAGATGTTGCTGTACTTGTAGAATCAGAACCAGCTCCCCTTCCCCTTCCTCTACCAGTTCCCTTTCCCTTTACTCTGCCAACTCATATTCCTAGTCCCTCCCTCTGCCTCTCCCAGTAGAACTTGTATTTCTAATTCTTGTAGTATCTTACAAAGAAGATGAAACACTAAAATATTGGATAGCAGGTTGACTCATTGGCATTGCTTCAGTAGTTGGACTAGATTGTTGAGTAGCAAGTTGACTGTTTGGTGTTGCTTCAGTTGTTGTTCTTTGTAACATTCCTCAAATCTATAAAAATTTTAAGACACGATCAATATAGAATTTAATTTTTTTTAATCTTGTCTTGAGTGCATAAAAATTATACTTCTATTACAAATTTAAACCCTTATGATTGACTTTTGAGTTACTTCTTTATTTATAAATAATTAGATATAGAAATAGGGAAATATTAATAAAGTTAATATTATTAGTAGTAGTTATTAGAAGTGAGTATCATTAAATACAAGTTAGTCAAAAAGAAAAAAGAAAAAAGGGGGCAAGACACTTAAGGATTAGACCTAAAGCCCATAGAGTGGTTGTTGTAAGGAAAAAGCCTAAAGCCTTGGACGGAATAGAGCACGAAACAAAATAGACTTTTAAAGGAGCAAGAATTAGGTGCAGCCTTGCTACTCCCAGCAAAATACTCGTGCAGGGAACGAGAAGTTCTAGGTTTTTTTACAAATCACTAGTTCTTGAACTCAGGTATATAAAATTTTCTATTGCCAATTATCCTTAGTAGAATTTATTTGTAAAATGTGAACAGTAGTAGTATGTAAGAATTGGATAGTTAATTCCCTTCTTTCTCTGTATCAACTGTAAGTTCCATGTTTAGGTATTAAAATTTGAAATCAATTAAGAAGCACTAGTTGTTGTAGAATCGATTATTTGACGGGTATAAATTGGACTGGAGCTTACGTATTGGCTCGAGGAGTTTTGAGGTGAGTTGATATAACCCTTTACTAAAGTGGTTTAACTCACAAAAGCACGCATACAAGGTGTTTGATGAATTGATTGAAAGAGTTAATATGTATTTAATTAGAGCGAGTGAGTACCTATGAACTTAGAATTGTTCTAGCTAAAATTTAGATGATTTATTCTGATATATGTACATAAATTTTAGATTTTTGTGTTACTCTTATATGTCGTTTTCATGTTAAAAGTTCATGAAGAAGAAAGAATCTTTAGAAATACTTTTGAATGTTTATTTCATGCTTATGCCATGTTTTACATTTAAAGATACCAGTATGAGTATGTATAGGTTATTGTAGAAAAGATTTAGACTTGAATGGTAAAGAAAGTTGAGAAGTTAATTTAGACCCTAGCTAGGTCACACATAAAAGTTTATTTTAAAGTATTTTTGGGAGTATCCTTTATTCTGAGAAGGGGTTTTTGTCCAGGCCGAGGGTCCTTACCAAGATGTTGACTTCCTAAAACTACTCGTGGCAAAGTAGGGAGCAAATGAACCGAGGGTCTCATTGATGAGAATTTGCCTAGCCAGGCTAAGGTATGATACATGAGCACTGAGAACCATGAAACGAGTGGCACAACGTGGATTGGGCCTATTCGATCAGGTTGGAATCGAACCCGTGCCGATCACACGGTGACTAAGACAGAAATAAGTGAGCATAATTGGAACTCCCGAAGCATAAAGTGAAGTATTTTTTTATAAGAAAGAAAAAGAAAAAAAAATCTTTTAGAATATTCATAAACTGTTGTTATGAAATTATTTTAGAATTTTTATGTTTTCCATGCATTTGGAATCTTTTCTTGTAATGTATATTTTATCAAGTCTCGTTCTTTACTTTAGTGGGGGGTCGTTGAGACTCACTGAGTACAGTGTATGGTACTGATATTCTCTTTTGGGAACCTGCGTTGGTCCGTGGTACAACGTAGGAACCGATTTTGCAGGCGAGCAGGCTACATGTTAGGACTTCCCTCACTTCCAGTGCTATTGGCGAGCTTCGCTTTTGTTCGTGGAGTATTCCTTTGAGTCATCATTATTTAGCTATTTCTTTGTTTACTTGAAGAACTAGCCAGGGAATCTCATGTCCTAAGCAATGCGTCAGTTTATCAGTAGAGGCTTCATAGACACAGTCGGTGGGTTACGATTCAGATGTTTTTAATAATAACTTTGCAGTATTTCAGTGGTTACTACGAATAAAATTTTGGTGTTGCTTATTTTAGATATTCAAATTAATTAAAGTAGTTGATTAAAGTATTGCGTTGTTGCATATAAAGTTTGAAGATATAATAGCTTTGATAAGCGCAGATGGTTCGCTCGGTCAAGTTTAGCGATCGGGTGCCATTCACGGCTTATTCAAAAAATGGGTCGTGACAAACTTGGTATCAAAGCATCAGGTTTATGGAGTCCTAGGGATCTATGAATCTATGTCAGTAGAATTTGGTTTATGATTATGAAGCGCGCCATACCTATAAATAAGAGGCTACAAGTATTTAGGAAAAGTCTCATTTTTGTCATACGTTAGATCGTGCAGTAGAGCCAACCTCTAATAAATTATCTAATGTATTCGTTTCTCCAAAACTAGCAGAAATGGCTCGTACTCGCAACTCTGACACCGATATTAGAATGTTGCTCAAGAAACTATTGCTACTATTATGGCTCAAGGTAGAACTAAGAAGGCTTCACCTCAGAAAATAAGGGTAAATTCACAAAGGGGGTTCAAGTACCCCGGGTTGAACATGAAGAATGGGTGGAGCATAATGAGCAAATACCTCAGGATCTAGTACCACCCTCAACAGCAGTTCCGACTCAGACATCTATATCTCGGGAGGTGGGTTAGATGTTTAATGATGTCAACAATGCTATGGAGATGTTTAAAGCCTTCATGGTAACCAGAATGGGATAATAGATGAGATTCCACCTCAATCAAATAGACAGAACAATCTGGGTCCTCAAGAGTTAATCAATTTTAGAAGTTGAGTCCTCCGTTGTTCTGTGGTGCTATAGTTGATGAAGATCCAATGTTGTGACTAGAGGGTGTCAAGAAAACCCTTCGAGTGATGAAGGCATTTGATGATGAAGTTGTGGAGCTATCTGCCTACCAGCTTAGAGATGTGGGAAACAGAAAGAGATGAAGATGATGGTCCGCCTACTATGGAAGAATTTGAAGAGGCATTCATGGCTAATTTTATACCAGAAGAGGATAGGAAGCTAAGGCTACAGAGTTTGAGCAGCTCAAGCAAGAGAATAAAAGTGTACAAGAGTACTACATGGAATCCATAAGTTTGGCTAAGCATGTTCCTCACATGGTTAAGACATAAAAAGCAAATATCCACAGGTTTGTTAGCGGTTTGGCTTACCACATTAAGGATACCACATCAGCTGCAGCGGTAGGAATGACATCTTTCTCTTATGTTGTAGGTTTCTTCAAGCACTTAGAAAAAGACATACAACAAAGGAGAGAAGAAAAAGAGCATAATAAGAAATCTCGGACATCAGGTAGGTTTAGTGGTACATCTAGCGGAGGAGGAATGGGTTCCTTCAACAAGGGGTCATTAGCACCAGCTCAATCTAGTCATCAGTCAGGTGGTGGGTTTTCCTTCAGCCGTACTCAGGGTTATGGAAACCAGTCTCGCTAGAATAAGAATTTTAGGACACCATCCTCATATAGACAGAGTCATGTTCAGCAACATTCACAATAGCAAGGTCTTTGTGGTACATGTAAGTGACAACATTCAAGTCAGTGCAAACTCGATTTAAAGGTTGCTATCATTGCGGAGATAATGGTCATATAAAAGCAAACTGCCCGAAGTTGCAACATAATTTTAGTGGGGAATCAACTCGTCCTTATAGTTCCTCCGCTACTACAGTTGTACCACCTCAGGCTCGTGGTTCTCATAATGAGGATGGACATGGGGCAGACAGAGGTGCAAATCAAATTACTCAGGATGGGGGACAACCCAGTTTGTTTGCTATACTTGATCGTCAGAGTGCAGACGCATCTCTAGAAGTTATTACAAATATACTTCTAGTCTACTCAGATAATGCTTATGCCATAATTGATCCAGGTTCAACGTTTTCGTACGTGACTACATACTTTGCAAATAATCTCGGTCTAGAACCTGAACAACTAAGTGAGCAATTCCTAACATCTACTACAGTTAGCGAGTCAATGAATGCTACAAGATACTATAGAGGTTGTACAGTTTTAGTCCAAGGTCACTGCACCGAGGTCGATCTCATAGAGTTAGAAATGGTGGATTTCGATGTGATCATAGGTATGGATTGGTTATCTTCTTGCTATTCCATGTTAGATTGTCATGCCAAAATAGTCAAGTTTCAATTTCAAAATGAAGAAGTCTTAGAGTAGAATGGTAGTTTAGCATCGGTTGTGGGTAAATTTATTTCTTACCTTAAGAGATAGAGAATGATCGGTAAGGGGTGTCTCGCCTATCTGGCTCACATCATTAATCTAGAATCAGAACCACCAGCTCTTCAGTCCATACCAGCTGTTTGATAATTTCTAGAAGTTTTCTCAGATGACCTTCCCGATCTTCCTCCTGGAAGAATCATAGACTTTGGCATCGATCTCATGCCAGGCACTGAGCCCATATCTAATCCTCCTTATAGGATGGCTTTGGGAGAACTTAATGAGTTGAGAGAATAGTTGAAAGACCTTCTTGACAAAGGATTTATCAGGCCGAGTGTTTCACCGTGGGGTGCCCCGATCCTGTTTGTCAAGAAGAAAGATGGGTCTCTTAGAATGTGCGTCGACTATCAGTAGTTGAATAAATTTACCATTAATAACAAGTACTCACTGCCAAGAATCAATGATTTATTTGATCAATTTCAGGGTGTAAAGTACTTTTCAAAGATAGACTTGAGGCCGGGGTACCACCAGTTGAGAATCAGAGAAGAGGATATATCTAAAACAACCTCCAGGACTCACTACGGGTACTGTGAATTTCTAGGAATGTCCTTCGGGTTGACAAATGCTCCAGCTGCATTCATGGACCTCATGAATAGAGTTTTCAAGCCATTACTTGATACCTTTATTATCGTATTTATGGATAATATTTTGGTATACTCTAAGAGTAAGGAAGAGCATGCAGAACACCTCAGGATAGCCTTGTAGACCT